GAGAAGTTGGTGGATTTGAACCACTGATCTTGCAGTTCAAACTGACCTTGTGGTTCATTGCATTATCTTGCAGTGCCATACAAGGACCCCAGGGGTTACTTCTTACCTTGAGGAATTCAGAGAAACCAGAAAGGGTTTTCAGCAAGAGAGTAGAATCCGGTTGCAACTTTAGAAAAATCACCTTTAGAAATACTGTCTGTCTTAGCCATCCAGTGGTGCTGTAACAGAAACCGCAAATGGGTGGTTTTAAGAGACAGACATCTATTTTCTCACAATTCCAGACACTGTAAGTCTGAATTCAGGTTCCTGGGCTTGTCAGTTGTCGGCATCCCTACAGATCACTAGGGTTGGGGCCACTCAGTAGAGTAATTCGTGGCGTCAACACCCCACTTCCTGGCTTCATGGACCTCCCGAGTATCCTTGTGTTGGTAGGTTTCAATCACCGACCTAGTGGTTAGCAATCCTGCACTCACCTGTAACATCACACCAGTATCCTTAGTAATGGACTAATGTACATTTTTGTGACTTGTAAATTGTAGTTCCCATATACCACTGAATGTAATGGCAATTGTTGTTAAGTGCTGTCGAGTCAATTCCGACCCAGAGTGATCCTGTATAGGGTTTCTGAGGAGAAGCTGGTGAGCTTGAGCCACCGACCTTGCAGATCAAATGGCTTTGCAGTCTGACGCATTAACCCACAGCACCACACCAAGACTCCATCACTGTTATTAAGCAATACCAATTCTGACATGAGCACATACATTGTTGTTGTTGAAAAGTGCCGTCCAGTCGGTTCCAACTCATAGCGACCCTGTATAGGGTGTCCAAGGAGTGGTTGGTGGGTAGAACCACAGACCTTTCAGTTAGCAATCCGGTGCTTGTCCTATAATGCCCCACGAGGTCTTGATGAGCACATACATTGTTGTTGTTAAGTGCCGTCGAGTCGGTTTTGACTCAGCGACTTTGTATAAGGTTTCCAAGGAGTGGCTGGTGAGTTTGAACGGCCGACCTTGTGGTTCAAACCGACCTTGGTGTCCAGTGGTTTATCCTGCAGCTCCACACCAGAACATTAGAAGATTCAAGAGTAAATCAGTTTAACACTTTAGCCTTGTAGGTATACTGGTGCATGTAAATTGGGCTTATGAACAAATGTCACAGTTGTCATTACCAAAAATCATACGTATCTGCTGAAATTGCACAAAACTTTTATAGACGGTCTGTTGGGTGCCACCCCCTCTGACGGCGCTGCTCGGGTGGTTTGCAGTCCCAGCACTGCCCTGGTGGTGGCGCTGGACAGGCCCCTCCTGGACTATCTACTGAGAACTCATCAGCTTGGCATCTAAAGCAGGAAGCACGTTTCCAAGCAGGCTCACACAGCTGCACCAGGAAGCACTGCCCTTCCTAATTTTGCTCGTTTTCAGTTGTGTGTACATATACATTTAACACGTCGGCAACTTTTACAGGTCGCTGCCCTTCGTGAGGACGGAGCCCCCTGCTCCAGCTGTGAGTGTGTCTGAAAACAGCTCTCATCACAGACGCTGCGCCATCCAGCACCTCCACAAGTCACGGGTCCTTCATCACTCTCAAACCTCGCTCTATTACTGAAATTCTTTCCTGGTGTTTGCGTCTTAGCTCACTTTGAAAGAAATTCCCACCTTCATCCCAGTGGCATTTGCATCTCATTACACTCCTGGTAATTAGCTCTCTCATTACACCCCCTCCCAGTCGGAATAGGATCTTTTCTTTTCAGGTGTCAACCCCGGTGTGCGGTGTGCATCTTACTTACACTTCTTCAAGATTCCAGAAAGCCCTTCCGCCTCCGCCAAATTAGGACAACCACTTCCAGCTGTGTACACTTCATTACAACTTCCATTTCAGAAAAGGACTCCGCTGTATTTCACATCTGGTCCCGCGCTTATTAATTACGTACTTCATCCAACAACTGTGCCTAATTAGGACAAAGTCGAGACCTTTGCTGAGCCCAGCCATTCTGTTTCCCTGTTCTTGGTAGCTCATTACCTTCCTTCCAAATTAAGCCCAATTTGTTTTACAGCTCTGCCACATTAACACAATTGTTCTCAGGTGTGTGTACTTTAGCCCACACTTTGCTTTTCAAGTACAATCGTGTTGATGGGGACTCGCCTGAGTTTTACTGCCTGCTTGCTAGGAGAACAGTTACTTTGTAGGTTCTTGACTACACTTGTGTTCAGCCTGGGGTTCGACTCTGGTCTCTGCGTAGTCTTTACTGTGACTTTCTGTGCCCTGTTCCAGGGGGTGGCTGGAGCTGAGCCTCAGAGCCCGGGCTGAAAGTGGGGCACAATCAGATCCCACCCCAAGCCAACAGGAGAGCAGAGCTCCAAGCAGAACAGCAGAGGGTTGACTAGAGATTTCAGTCCTCAGCCCTGTGAGCTGGCTTCCTACATGAAAAGGCAGTCTTGGCGGATGGAGTGAAAACATGGACTGGGGAAGGAAAGTTCAGAGCGGATGTTGTATAAAGCCAGTGAGTGTGTACGTTCCACCCAAGGGACCATCATTTGCTCATCGTCCCATGTCACCTAACCCATAGAAGGCAATTGAATACTTTTGAGTGAATGAATGAATGTCTCGTTAGTGCCGAGAAGTTCACGGCTGTGACTTGGCAGTTGGGCCATTGGGTTGGCTTGCTAACTTGACTTTGCTGTGAAGGTTTTCTCCTCTAGCCATTGTTGTTAAATGCCATCGGGTCAGTTCCGACTCGTAGCAAAACTGTATAGGAGCACTTGGTGAGCTTGAACTGCCAACCTTGTTCTCAAAGGGACCTTGCGGTCCAGTGCTTTATCCTATAGCACCATACCAGGTCCCCTCAAGCTATTGTTGTTGTTAAGTGCCATTGAGTTGGTTCCGACCCATAGCGACCCTGTACAGGGTTTCTGAGGCTGTATATCTTTATGGGAGCAGAAAGCCTCATCTTTCTCCCGTGGAGCAGCTGATAGTCTCGAACTGCCAGCCTTGTGGTTCGCAGCCTGATTCGTAACCACTACGCTACCAGAGCTCCTTCCCTCAAGCTATTAGGGACATAAAATATTGCCTGTCAGGCTTAGAGGACATTCGGACAAGGATGCAGTCCTGGGGAGGGCAGAAATTCCAGGTTAGGGAGGGGTCTCACTGCAGGTCCTTTGTGACCGTGTCAATGTTGGAGAACTCACACTGGGTCCTTCAGAGTGTGGAGACAATACTTGCTTGGGACAGTGGCAGTTTGAGGATGGCATCATTGTCTAATCAACAAGGAATATATAATCTGATGTGAGGAGTGATGAGTTCTAGATGGGCTATACATGAAACACCCCAGGAGGCAGTAATAAAACCAGGTGACCTACTGCCCACAGGTCATAGCCTTGAAAACCCAACAGTGCAGTTCTAGTCTGCACACACGTGATCACCATGAGCTGGAATTGACTCAGTGGTAAGCACCGCCACCAAGTGAGCCTCTGCCTAGTGTGGTCTCTGACTCAGGCCCAAGTGGCCATCGGGTGTATGGGGGTTGGAGTCCAGTCTCACTTAAAGGCCGACAACAGGACTGTCCTCCTCTCTGCTTCTGTCCCCACATGCAGAGTGTCCAGCACACACTAGACTCTCAGGAATGTTTGCTGAAGAAAGAATACAAGAAAAATGGCACAGCGTTAAACTTCCCTAAAACAGTTTTGAATTTTCTGTGCTTCCCACTAGTTGTACAAATGGGTGTAAAACTTCAAGCCTTCAGTGTGAGGCATGGCCACATGCAGTTAGTCTCCCCAATTTGCCTTCCTGTGTGTCTGCAAGAGTATTCCCATCTGCTCTGTCAACCAGAGGCAACAAGAGCATTTGGAGACCAGGGGCCAGTGATGGCGCAGTGTGCCTGCTAGGAGAGCAGTGAACACTCACACAACTGGAGAATGTTCTGGAAATGCGCCCAGCTGGAGGTTACATGAGGGAGAAGTCCTGTCCCCTCATGCCTGTCCTCAGCTGGACTACTTCCTAAGGTGCGGCAGACCCAAGGGCTCATGAGGAAGCTACGTCGGCATCCATGTTTCCAGTTAAATAGAAAGTTTCTGACAACCATGTTCTCTTGGAAAGGGGTCGAATCACATCCCATGTCTCCATTTTTGTCACTAATTTGATGGCTCTTGGTTTTGATGCAATGGAAATAAAATGAAAACACAGCCAACCAACAATAACATGTGTACCAGTTATAGCATACATGTAAACCTCTCTTAGGGACTGGGCTAAAAGGACTTTTCTCCCCTCACAGCCGGGTTTTCTTAGTTAGGGAAGTTTGGGGAAATAACAGTCAGTTGAGAACTCATTTATTTGATCTTGGCAACAGAGACAAAAAGCAATGCAAATACAATTCATTCTTTGGATTATACACTGACAAGGCTTAGAAAAATCCCTACTGCTTCCGTAATAAGGTTTACCGTATAGTCTTCGGATGAGATGGCTTAGATAAACATCTGTTTTGTATGGATTGGTGTTGGAATTATACGTATGTTGGATCATGAGCGAGATATGAAATGGTAATTATCCCTTCACTTTTCAGAGTCCAGCAATTTGACACACCTTCCTCCTTGTCCCACCCTCATCCCCTTGGAATAGACCACATTAACCATCGAGGATGAATCCACACACTTTGTACTGCAAACTTCCTGTAGGGTTTATGAAAAGTCAGAGCTGAGAGAAAAGGAGCCTTGCACCTGCTTTCTGCTAAGACATCAGCGTAGTACAACTGAATCGCAGCTCAGAATATATCCATTAGATACTAAAGAATCAGAAATTCCAGCGCCCCCCACCCCAGCTGCAGTGCCCCCACTAAACAGTCCTTGGTGACTTACACCTTCTTTCTGCTAAGACATCAGCTAGCACAAACTGAGTCGCAGCTCAGAATATACATACCCATCGCATACCAAAGAATCAGCACATGTGACTAAGGAAACAAATTCCAGGCGTGTCCCCCCCCCCCCCCCCCCCCCCCCGCCATGCCCCCACTAAACGGTGGTTATCTTCTTGTCCTTGGTGGCCTGCTTGATGGCAGCCTGCTCGCAGATGATCTCCTTGAGGCGCTGTAGCCTCATGTTCTGGGTGGTCTGGTCCCCGACCCCGGTCTGGCTGCGGTGTAGCAGGGTCAGGGCATGGATGTACTCCAGCTCCGTGTACTTCACACCTTGGTCCACAACCAAATTCAGGAGCTCATCGGCTGTGTTGTACAGCATCTCGTAGTACTGCCTGAGGATGCAAGACAGACATGGTTCAACATCTCCTCATCACCAATATCATTTGAGAAGTGATAGATTTGCTGGTGGTAAGGTCACTAGTTTATCTACTCAGTAAGATGTTTACTGACCCTGGGGCCCTGTGCTGGACCCTGGGCCCTGAGTGGTGAATCTGGACATGGTCTCTATCCGGGTGACAAACTCTGAACAAGAAGTCTCTGGAGACCCAGGGGTTCAGTCCACACTAGACTCTCCTTGTTTAGCATTGATCTTAGGTGGTCCACAGAAAAGCAGAGAGGCGGGGCTACGTGGCCAACTATGGGCAGTATTGCCTACAGCTTTGGTCTCTCCCTCCCTCCCTTATACGTTGGTGGCTCTGTGAAACACGTGACCTTCTCCTCCATAACTGAGACAGTAATGTATAGGCATGCCTCATTTTATGTTTCACATATATGGTTTTGTTTCATTTTTAAACAAATTGGAGCTGTGTGTCAACCCTGCAACCCAAAAGTCTAACAGGACCATGTTTCCAATAGCATGCACTCACTTCACGTCTCTGGGTCATGTTTTGGTCTTTCTCACATTTCAAACTTTTTCATAATGCTATTTATTGAACATCAGGAGTCGTGGTGTGGCTCTGTGGGTTAATGTGCCAGACTGCAAAGCCGTTTGAACAGCAAGGTTGGTGGTTCAAGCTCACCAGCTGCTCCTCGGAAACCCTATACAGGGTGGCTATAGGTTGGAACTGACTCGACGGCACTTGACAACAACAACAATTGAACACATTCTCTGCTTTTAGCTAAGATCCATCTGATGCCAGCAATACTATCCCTTGTCTGAATCGGGCTTGAACCTCTGGCAGTTCCCGCTCCGTGGACTGGTACAGCAGTCTGACTATGCTTGACCACGCAAAGGCTTTCAACTGTGGATCATGGCAAGCTCTGAACAGCACTGCAGAGAATGAGTATTCCAGAGCGCTTCATTGTGCTCCTGAGGAACCTGTACATAGACCAAGAGGCAGTTGTTTGAACAGCACATGGGGACACTGAATGATTTTAAATCAGGAAAGGAGGGTAGCCAGGGTTGTATTCTTGCCCCATACTTCTTCAATCTGTACACTGTGAAAATAATCCAAGAAACTGGATTATATGAAGTAAAATGTGGCATCAGGATTGGAGGAAGACGTATTAACAAACTGTGAAACAACAAACAGATACAACTTTGCTTACTGAAAGAGAAGAGGACTTAAAATAGTTTTGGAGGTGATGAAGATCAAAGACCACAGTCTTTTGTATGGATTGCACCTCAATGTAAAGAAAACAAAAATTCTTACCATAGGACCAACAGATAAGTGGAGAAATGATTGAAGTTGTCAAAGACCTAATTTTCTTGGATCCACAATCAAAGGAGCTCTGGTAGCATAGTGGTTACGAATCGGGCTGCAAACCACAAGGTCAGCAGTTCAAAACTACCAACTGTTCCATGGGAGAAAGATGAGGCTTTCTGCTCCCGTAAAGATTTTCAGTCTCGGAAACCCTGTACAGGGTCGCTATGAGTCGGAACCGACTCCACAGCACATAACCAACACCACCACAATCAACACTCATGGAAGTAGCAGCCAAGAAATCAAATGACATATTGCATTAGGCAAATCTGCTGCACAAGACCTCTTTGAAGTGTTCAAAAGCAAAGATGTCAGTTTGAGGACTAAGGTGCGCCTGACCCAAACCATTGTATTTTCAATAGCTTCATAGGCATGTGAAATTGGACACTGAATAAGGAACCCTGATGAAGAATTGATGCATTGGAGTTATAGTGTTAGAGAAGAATATTGAAAGTACGATGAACTGCCAGAAGAACAAACAAATCTGTGTTGGAAGAAGTACAGCCACAATGCTCCTTAGAAGTCAGGATGGTGAAACTTTGTCTATCATACTTGGGATGTGTTATCAGGAGGTACCAGTCCCTGGAGAAGGACATCATGCTTGGGAAAGTTGAGTATCAGTGATAAAGAGGAAGACCCTCAACAAGATGCCTTGGCAGCAGAATGGGCTCACACTTAACATTGGTTGTAAGGATGGTGTAGGAATGGGCAGTGTTTGGTTCTGTTCTACATACGGTCACTATGGGTAGGAACTGACTATATAGCACCTAACAACACCAACATTGCACACAGAATATCAATCCACGGTTATGGAGTTGGTTCCAACATGGTAGGGATCCGGTTAGACTGGGGAGTATGGGGAAAAGGAGAGTCATGGGAAAAAGCAGATGAAGACAGAAGGCAGAGAGCTTAAGCTTCAGGCTAGGACTTTAGGCCAAATGAAGTCAATAAAGTACTCCCTGCTCCTGTCCTCCAAGGCTCTGTTGACAGTAGAGGCACCGTGCTAAGTTGTATTTCTGGAGGACTAAGGTGACAGTGGAGTGTGGAACGATCTGGGTGCTGGAGACGAGAGCAGTGTTACAACAGGAATGTGCACCAGACTGACTCTCCGGTGCAGAGAGAAGATGGAGATGGGCATCAGGAAATGAAGATGACTACTAGCTGTCGTAGAGCATCATAGACCATTAGTATCCCTCAGTGGACCACTGTGCTCCGAGACTATAGCCTGCATGGCCACTCCAATGACACAGCCAACAGCCTCATATGAACGGGAAAGTTAGACAATGCAAAAGGAAGACTGCAGAAAAATAGATGCATTTGAGATATGATTTGAGAGAGAAATATTGTAAGTTCCATGGACTGCCAAAAGAACCAACAAATCTGTGTTGGAAGAAGTACAGTCAGAGTAGTCCTTAGAAACCTGGGTGATGAGACTTTGTCTCTCATACTTGGGGCCTATGACAGGGGGGACCAGTCCCTGCAGAAGGAAATTATGCTTCGTATAGTGGAGGCTCAGTGAAGAAGAAGGCCCCAACGATATGGATTGGCACAGTGGCTGTGACAGTGGCCTCCAACATAGCAACAGCTGAGGATGGTGGAGGACCAGGCGGTGCTTCACTCTGCTGTACACAGGGGTGCTATGAGGTGGAACCGACTCTGCAACAATGACAGGTGCTGCAAACAGTTTATACTGGACTGCTAACCTAACGATGGGCAATTCATGACCGGTGTATGCATCTACATTTACCAAATGGAATGAGAAGGAATTGGGACTCGTGTCTTTCAGGATACAAAAGACTAGTGGTCCTTAAACTTTAAAATGATCCAGGGAGCCTATGAAAGTGCAGATTCCTGAGGCTCTAGCCCCAAATCATTCTGATTCCCAAAGCCTCTGAGTAGCCAGGAGTTTGAGGGAGAGTCTGATCCCGAACAGACACAGAAATACTCCCGTCTCCTCCAGCTAAGGACCTCAAAGCATCAGGGAAAGCTACAGCCGCAATATGTGGTTCCTTTCACAGAGATTAAATGAGAAGAACTGGGCTTCTTTATATTATGAGGCTGGTATTTTCATCGTTTATCTTAAGAAGTAATAATGAACCCATCAAACCAGATAAATTGGGTTTCTTTTGAAAACCAGGATGAATTGTTTCCAGGGATACTGGCTGGTTTTCTGCAGAGGCTGTTGTTCCACGCTGGGAGAAAACAACAAAACAAAGATGCCGCGCCTTCAAGTCCTGGATCTTCCAGAGTGTTAAGTGATAAAGGGCATGGTACTTAAGTCTTTAATGTTCACTATCCTCTGTGCAATGTAGACCTTTATGAACCCCAGGATGACACACTAAAGTGGACTGAGAGACTAAAAGAGGCCTCAAGATCCTCGACTGAACAGTGTCACAGAATTGCAGAGCTGAGTTATTAAACAAAATTGATGGCGTATTTTCTATGGTTAGGGAAGAAAATTTCCCATAACCACGATGATATATTAGATCATAAAGGAACATGAATATTTAACAACAGAATGAAATTCATTCATCTTTCAGACTGCTACCTAGCAGCAAAGATGACAAAATCAGCATGTTGTTGTTAGGTGCCATTGAGTTGGTTCTGATTTATAGCGACCCTATGGAGTCCTGGCATGGTGCTGTGGGTTAATGCGCTGGACTGCCAAGTCGTTTGAACTGCAAAGTCAGTGGTTCAAGCTCACCAGTCACTCCTCAGAAACTTTATACTGTGTCACTATGGGTCGGAACTGGCACTTAACAACAACAACATGTACAACAGGACAAAACACTGCCGATCTTGTGCCATGCTCATAATTGCTGCTATGTTTGAACTCACTGCAACAATTTAATGAATTCATCTCATTGAGGGTCATCTTCTTTTTCAGTGACCCTCTACTTTGCCAAGCATGATATTTAGTCACTCCTGATTAAACATATCCAAAATATGTCCGATTAAGTCTCCTATCTTTGCTTCTAAGGAACATTCTGGTTGTACTTCTTCCAAGACAGATTTGTTCATTCTTCTGACAGTCCGTGGTATGTTCGATATTCTTTGCCAACACTTTAATTCAAATGCATCATATTTTTTTTAGTCTTCATTATATATAATCCAGCATGGACCCTGAAAATACCATGGTTTAGGTCAGGCACACCTTAATCCTTCAAAGTGACATCTTGCTTTTTAACACTTTAAGAAAGTCTTCTGTAAAAGATCTGCCCAATTGCAAGATGTTGTTTGATCTCTTGACTGCTGCTTTCATGAGCACTGATTGTGGATCCACGTAAAATGAAATCCTTGACAACTTCCATTTTTCTTCTTCTATCACGATGTTGCTTAATGTTCTAGTTGTGGGGATTTTTTGTTTCCTTTTCGTTGAGGTATAACCCATACATAGGACTGTAGTCTTACATCTTCATCAGAAAGCGCTTCAAGTCTTCACTTCCTGTAGGCAAAGTTGGATCATCTACACGTCATAGGTCAAGGTCAACAAGTCTTTCTCCAATCCTGATGCAGTGTTCTTCTTGGATTATTTGTTCAGCAGCAGATTGAATAATTATGGAAAAAGGATACAATCCTGACATACACTTTCCTGATTTGAAACCACAGTTTCCCCTTGCTCTGTTCAC